CTGCGAGCGGGGTTCGGGCCCTCCCTCCGCCCCCCGCCCGCCTCTCGCTGGCCCCCTACCACCTGCCGCCCCCATGGCGTTTTGTTTTTGTGCTTTTGCAGGGAGGGGCCCTTCCTGCAGGCGTTGGAAACCATGGTGCTCACGCTCGCAGAAAGTTGGCCGGTGCTGGTGGGGAAGCGATTCCTCAGTCTGTCCGCCGCCGACCGCGGCGACGGCGGCCACGACGGCTGGGACGTGGGGCGCGTCGCCGAGTGGCCCTGGCTCTCCGGGACCATCCGCGCCGTCTCCCACACGGACGTCACCAAGAAGGACCTGAAGGTAAAGCTGGGCCCCGGCGGTCTGCGTCCCGACGCGGCCAGCACCCCGCTCGCTGCCCCTTTGTGGGAAGGGCGATCAATCAGAAAGTTGGCCTCGGGAGGTGCAGAAAAAACGAGGCCTGGAAAGTTTTGAAATGGTTGTGTGGAGCCGAGGTGTGTTTCGCCTCCAGTTGCTGGTGTCTGAACATGGGCTTTAGGGTTGGTTGTCTAGACACGTTTCGGCGTTGCCAGCGCTGTGCCCCGTTCGGGGTGAGTATGTCTCCCGAGGGGGAGTGGTGGTGGTAGTTAGTCTGAAGCTGGGCTAGTGGGTGACGTTTGGAATCGAGAATTTAAAGCTAGTGTTTGGAGGTGCTTTCAGTGGGTTTTTGTTTGTTTGTTCGTTCCTCTTCATGTCTTCACCCAACTCCTTAAACTTTTAGTCCTGTTAGAAATGAAAAGTGTGCGTGTCTGTGTGTGGGCCGGGGGGGGGGAGGGAGGGAGGAGCTTGGTTCTATTATGCAGATGAGGGTGGGTATCTGTCCTTTTATGGTGGATCCGGGGAGGAGCGGGTTCCCGGTGGTGCTGATTAGCCTGCGGGGGCGTGTGGGAGAGACCATATATGGAGGGGTGGGTGGAGCTAGCTGCCCCTGACGTGCTGTGCTGGAGGGAATGGTTTAGAAATATTCCACCTTGGTGGTTAGGGGGAGCGAGATGAATGACAACAAGTGCGGCCAGGGGTTTTTCATCAGAACAACACTCAGGACCGTTATCAGTTAGATCTTTTCAAAAAGCGATGAATTCTGATTGTACTTCCTAATAGAAGTATTGGTGTGACTACTTTGTACCAACAAAGACTCCTTTGTGCAAAAATAACTGAAAAGGGGTCCCTAACAAAGGCTGCGACGTGATGATGATGTGAAGGAAGAAGAAGCACTGTCAGAACAGAAAGTATTTCTAAACTTGGGTAATGGGTATTTCATTATCTCTGCCGGTTCTTGAAACCGCTCAGACTAGGGAAGCGAGTTTTAGCATTGACAGTTGGCTATGTTTTGGTTTCTGAAACCGTTCATTTGAATACTCTCAAGGCGACCATGCATGCCCAAACCTGAATTACTTGCAAAGGGTTGTGGGAAAAGGGTGTGTGGTTATATATTTTTAAAGTTTATGTAGTGAGCCTTGTCTCATGTTGAAAAGGAGGAGTGACCAGTGAGCATTTAACCACGTGCCAGGAATCATGCTGAGCACTTCATAGCCATGATTTTATTTGGCCCTTACAGCCATTCTTTGGAGGTAGGTACTGATATTGCTCCATTTTACAGGTAGAAATTCTGGGGCTTGGGGAGATTAAGTATCTTGCCTAAGGTCACGTATCTAGGAGTTGACAGCCTGTGTTCTAAACCAGGAAGTTTTGCCTTCTGAGTTCACCCTCTTAATTATCATAATCCCTGATTTTCTCCTGTTTCACTCCTAGCAAACCAGGTTTTGATGTTACAGAAATAATGTAGTGAGGTGCAGAGATGGTCAACCTGTTGGCTTTAAGCTAATAGTATTTCTCCATAAAATGGGCTTTGTGTACTAGATTTCAGTCAGAGTTGTTGTGGTTTACTTCACCTGCCAAATAAAACTTTCTCTTGTGCATTTGTTTTCCTGTGATTTGAATGGACACATTTTATTTAAACTTCATAGTTTTTAGTTCTTTCTGAAGATGATGAGAGACTAGGTGTTTGGGTGACTGAGAACCTGTTGGGTTGGGAAGGCAATCTAGGAGGGTCCTTTATGAGTATACTTTTAAATCTGCACGTCTCCCTAACTTCCAACCTTTGAGGTGGTGGTGATATCTTCATTTTCAGAATGAGGAAATAGAATTAGGAAAAGAAGTCTTGTCTAGACTTTCATAATGAGTTACTAAGTGATGGAGGGAGGAGGATTTGAATCTAGGTTATGCCGTGTGTCTTTTCCACTGAACTAAGGTGCCTGAACTGGAGACTGCAGGGAATTTTAATTCAAGAACAATTTTGACTTATATTGGATTTTTGCTTTACTTGCAGACCTCACAACTGAGTCTCATGTAAGATACAAATCTACTTGATGTCTTTATGCTAATTATGACTTATTGCTACCTTCCTTAGTTGATAGAAGATGAAATAATTGGCTTAAGTTTAGAGCCAAGTTTTAAAACATAGAATTTTAAAACAATAGAGCCGAATTGTGCTTGATGCGATGTAGGCAGGAATTAAACTAAGTTACTGACCATCCTTACTTACACCTGGGTTTCGGGATATTTCATTTTGGGGTGGGACTGGGGCATGAAATGAATATGAATGAATGAAATTCAAGCACTGGCCCAACTTTTTAGTATTAGTAGAAGTACAGGTTTGTCTAGACCAGCGATTCTCAACCTGTGGGTCGCAACCCCTTTGGGGGTCGAACGATCCTTTCACAGGGGTCACCTAAGACCATCGGAAAATTATGTTTAATTATGTTCAATTTGTAACAATGAAATTGGGGGTCACCACAACATGAGGAACTGTATTAAAGGGTCGCGGCATTAGGAAGGTTGAGAACCAGACTGATTTGCTTAGTTAGGATATTATTGTGGTCAAGGCTTAGTAACATTGTTTTACCTTGAGAGAGACTTTGTAACAAAGTCACTTACTCGATACAATGTAACTAGTTCATTACAAATAAGTTCAGATGAAGAAGCAATAACTTTAAATGCTTATTATATGGCAAATACTACTTTGTTTAACCCTCACAAGTATTCTAGATGGTAAAATCACATTATTTTAGTGTTAGAAATTGATTCTTAAAGAAGTTAGATAACTTGCCCAAGTTTGTCTCCAGATCTTAAACACTAGATTTTAATATTCAGGTAGAGTGAAGTTAGAACACTTTATTTTACAGTGGGGCCTTGACTTATGAGTTTAATTCGTCCCGTAACCGAGCTCGTAACTCAAATTACTCGTATGTCAAATCATTAAAGTGAACGAGTGCGACACATGATGCTGGGCTGATGTTGTGGCTTTCACTGTGACGTTCGCTGCGCCAACTAGCGGTGGGGTATCTGAAGCTGCCTCGTAACCCGAATTTTAGCTCACAACTCAAAGCAAAAAATCGGCGGAGACGGCTCGTATCTCGAAAAACTCGTTAGTCGGGACACTCGTAAGTCAAGGCCCCACTGTACTGGCCTTTATATCCTTAGTTCCTAGAACACTGCTTGGCATGTAGTGTTTGTCAAAATATTTGAATGACTAAATGAAGGAATCATAAAATTATTATCTCTACATGGAAAAGCAGTTTAGAGAAATAATCTAATGAAGCAGTGACATTGTCTTTATCTAGAATAGCAATATTGGAAATGATAGGTTAAGAATTATAATTAATAGATCTCTTTTTGGCCTTTAGAGTCAGACAGCATAAATAACATTTTTGTAGATACACCAAGGGAACATGGAGGAAAGAACACAATTTGGAACGAAAACTAGTTACATCTTTCAGCTTGTAGGAGCTTGATCAAGTCACTTTAGTTCCCCCTGGATTCGAATTCTTACTGGTATGTCATTTCATATAAATTTATGCAGAAGAGACGTTTTGGTGGAGGGGTGACATATATATATACACACACACACACACACACATATGTACATATATATAACATGTTATAGTTATATACATACATGTATATAACTCAATCTTCAGACACAAATAAAAGATCTATGGTTTTAATAGGAAACTTTTGAAAGAATGTTGAAGAAAACTCACAATCTGTTGGGTTCATTTTATATGTATGTAAATACACACATTTATACACAAATACACATATATATTAACTTATCTTTATTGTTGAAAGTATTACAGATGTCCTTTCCACTCCCACTGTAACCACACTCCCCCCCAACACCATTATATATATATATTTTTTAAGTCATCTTTTTTTCAAACCAGAGTTAATGTGAATTTTTGACCAATGCAACCTAATACTCCCAAAGTCATAAACTAAATTATTTTTAAGGAACTAAATTTTATTTTCAAATCATTTAAAAATTAGGATGTAAAGAGAGACCCTGTCTAAATTTTGGGTTATATGTTAGATAATGATATTGAAGATCCTCTCTCCTCCATTCCTAACTGAAGGAGTTAAGATTAATTAAGATAAATTAAGATTTGAATTATCACAGGGGTCTTCAAACTACCTCGCCTCCTTGCCAGATACTTTATATAAATTGTCTTTAAAATCTGCCTAGCAATGCAGTGAAGGGTAGGTGTTAGTACTTTCATTTTTTAACTAGCAAAACATGACTCAGAGAGCTTTGATTTAAGCAAGGTTTGTTTGTTTAAATCATATGAGCATTTATTCCAATACTGCCAGCAGTATGGGAGAGCAGCAGGTCATACACAAAAATCTGCTCTAAGCAAGGGTTCTTAACCTGGGGTGTAGGTTAATTGGTTTCCTTTGTAATCCTATATATTTTATTTTATGCTCCTAAATTCATTCTAAGAAAACTTGAATATAGCTGGGATGCAAACCAGAGCTCTCTGTTTCTGAAATTTGTTCCACTGTGATGGGAAAACTGTCATCCAAAGCTAGCTTGGGTTTGAGGTTGATGTAATATGGGTCAGAAGAGGAGATATCAGAGGACCTGAATTCTGTGGCTAGGAAAATAGAAATAAAGGAAGATGGGCAGTCTTTGACCACCTCTGTGAAAGGATCATTTGGTTGGTTATAGTGATGGATGGAATACATAGAACCAAAGAGAGAGCCCATGGAGCCTTGTCACATAATACTATTTACATATTTGCACTTATTCTCTAATAACTACAAGTTTAAAAGCCTGCCATATGAAGAAGACAGGCAGTTTCTTGGGGGAAGTGGCTTGGGAAGTTAGGGACGCACATTTTGTTGTTGGGGGGCTGGGGTTTGGGGTAGGTCTTCAATTTCATTGATAACCATAAACTGGGGGGAAGGTTTGGATAGGGACTAACAGTATGTCAGTTAGGAACTTCCTCCCTTCTAAATGGGTGAGAGAACAGAAGGTAAGAGCCTAATTCAGAGAGAAATTTATTCAGCAAGTCTTTGAGTAGTGACTTGGGACTGATACCAGTGAAACACAGTGGTAAGTAAAAGCTGACACAGACTTTGACCTATTAGAATTTATAACATGTCAATCAGGTAACCACAAATCAATAATTCAAAATGTGGGTAAGTGCTGGGAAGGAAAAGTACAGTGTTTTGAGTACAGTTAGCAAGGAAGCCTCTCTTGGACTTCTTTGAGAAAAGACTTTTTAATTTGGTTCTGACAGATAAATGAAGTTATCTAAACTTTTTTTAAGTTAAAGGTTAAAAAGGGAGATACTGTCTGAAATTATGAACAGTGCTATAGAATTATTGACTAATTACTTGAAATAAAAAAATGAAAGGCCTTTTTGGTAAGAGGAAGAATTTTAAGTCAAATAGAAATAGTGACTATTACACCAAATATTGAGGAAGTCTATTGTATATAATTGAAAATACAAAAAATCCCCAACCCATTAAAAAGTTTAGAATAAATTAAGGGGTAGCATGTTCATAATGGGTTAATAAGTAAGTTAGGGTGTTTTGATATATTTATATCAAATTAAAGGTTTTGTGAATGTTTCTATTTCTCGGTGAGAGACCCACTTTTGGAGTGAATTTTTTTTTATGTCTTAAAATAAACAAATTGTAAGGGTTTTAGCTTTAGGGTTAAAACATATTTTGCAGGTCTGAGGCAGAAATTTTCACAATTACTTGGAAAATGGTATTTCCATTGTAGTTTAACTTTCATATAAGAAGCTAGAGGTAGTCCTGGAAAACTCTGGGGTCATTTATCAATTACTTGTTTGTCTATTTAGCAAAGTAGTCTTAGATGCTAGGGTAAATTTCCCAGCTTATTCAATTGAAAGGGATTTCTGAGGCTGTGCCATCTATTAGGCCTTGTGCTAAATCCCACTGATACCAGGGGAATTCAAAAGCAAGTGGTGGACTGTGGTCATGGGGAGTCATCTTAAGCTCACAAACAATGTCAACATAGAGTTACAGTGCTAAGCAATTAGTACTTCTTTTAAATTTGTCTTTAATTCTAAACTCTGATGTCTAATTAACATATGTAAGAACCTTCTACATGGGGGTTCTGTGCTTTGTGGGCTTCTGAGAGCTAACTTTGGGGGCAGGGACTGGCCCTCAAAGCCCTTGATTTCTGCTTCCCAAAGTGGTTTGGGAGCCAGAGCTTGATCCATGTCTGGATAGTTTATTGTGTGAAGAAAAGTAAGAGCAGGAAAGGGGAACAGTACATTCAGATATTTGAGTAGAATAAAAAGGGTATAATTCAACTTGAGCATTTTTTCTGTTTATTTTTGTTAATCAAATCTACTTTTTCCCCATTCTGTTGGTCTAGGTGTGTGTGGAGTTTGATGGGGAATCTTGGAGGAAGAGAAGATGGATAGAAGTCTACGGCCTTCTGAGGAGAGCATTTTTAGTAGAGCATAACTTGGTTTTGGCGGAACGAAAGTGTCCTGAAATTTCAGAACGAATTGTACAGTGGCCTGCGATAGTGAGTAAAAACTTGGGCTTATTAACGAGAAAAGGGCATTTCATCCATTATGAGTGAAATAAGAAAAATATATATGTGATACCTATATTCAGCCCTCTGGAAAATAATAATATAGATATATGTCAGTGTAGATGAGTCATAAGAGCACCCTGGATCTTTTGTTAGTCCTGCTAGGAGCTCTGGGCCCTTAACTTCTTGGGCCTTATTTTCTTCACTTGAAAACTAGGGATGGAAGTAATGTGGGGAAGGTCAAAGGTCAAAGGTCGGGAACTAGTAGACATACTCAGACATACAGATCTGTTTGATTTGACCCTCACAGTGTTTTAAGAAAATTTAAATTAGTTATCTGCTTTTCAGAATGTGGAGTGTAGTGGCTGACCCTTGACCTGTGAACCAGGAGGTCACTGGTTCAATTCTTGGTCAGGGCACATGCCAGGTTGCAGGCTCGATCCCCAGTATGGGGTATGCAGGAGGCAGCCAACTGATGATGTTTCTCATTGATGTTTCTATTTCTCTGTCTCCCTTCCTCTCTCTCTAAAAATCAATAAAAACATATTTTAAAAAAAAGAATATGGAATGTTCACTTAAAAATCTAGATTCCCGCCGAAACCGGTTTAGCTCAGTGGATAGAGCGTCGGCCTGCGGACTGAAGGGTCCAGGTTCGATTCCGGTCAAGGGCATGTACCTGGGTTGCGGGCACATCCCCAGTGGGGGATGTGCAGGAGGCAGCTGATCGATGTTTCTCTCTCATCGATGTTTCTAACTCTCTATCAAAAACATATTTTTAAAAAAAAAGAATATGGAATGTTCACTTAAAAATCTAGATTCCCAGTTTCATTTGAAAAAAACTATAAGATATGGCAAAACTTGAGCCTTGTGGCAGTTCTTTATCACAATCGTTGGCTAGAACTGAATAATGGCTGTTGCCTGGCTCCTGGAAGGGTTTCCAGTCTTGATCTCATGGCCTCTAAGTTTCCCCCTGGGTCATAATATTCTCTGGCTCTAAAGATACAGTCAGGATATGATTGTGTCATTTCCACATCATTAAGTTAGAGGAAAAGAGTTATCACTATGTTTGGAGAGGCCATTTGAGGTTTTATGAGACATGAGCTGGGGCGTGAGGTGGAAGGGGCAGATTTGGGTAGGTGGGAAGGCTCGGAGGGTGACTGAAAGGCTGACTAGATTGTGAAGGGCCTTGTGTGCTGTGCTGGCAAATTGAAGGTTTGCCCATGAGTCAGAACAGCTTTTAGAGATTTTTGAGAGATGCAGGGTTTTGGTTAAAGTTGTATTTTGCTCTTGCTTTTTGTATTTTTTTTCTCCCAACTATTAAGAATTTGCTAAAAATATGGTCCTGTCTCTCTAGGAAAATATATGCACACATAATTTTTTGCATAAAATTTGGGGAAGCCATGTGTCTCTGGGCCCAGACTTGTATGTTAATAACTCCTGAATGTGTATGTGGTTTAAATTATTGATTGGATAAAAATTGTGTGCTCTTGTTGTGGTTGCATAAATAGTTGTTAACGAGATACTTGCAGTGAATAAAAAACTTAATGGCTTTCTCTCTTCCTGCATGTGTGCAATATTACCATTCCCCATTTCCAGAATTATGCTGACAGCAGTTATGATGCCAAAATGTTTTCTTTTGTTTTGTTTTAGGTATACAAATCTCTGTTGGACAAAGCTGGTTTGGGATCCATAACTTCTATTCGCTTTCTAGGAGATCAACAGAGAGTATTTCTTTCTAAAGACCTTTTGAAGCCTATACAGGTATAACACAGAAACATTATTAAATGCTAAAAACAGAATTTATAAAATTGTCCTTTAACATGAGAACTAAAATACTGATGTTGATTGCTCTAATTCAGGTATCTTTTATATTGTTGTTAATCCTAAACAAGGATATTTTTTTCCATTGATTTTTTTTTTATAGAGAGTGAAAGGGATGGGGGGGGGGGGAGGACAGAGAAAAAGAGAGAGAAATATTGATGTGAGAGAGACACATTGATTGGTTGCCTTCTGTACTTGCCCCAACTGGGGCTGGGAATCGAGCCTGCAACTGAGGTAACGTGCCCTTGACCGGGAATCAATGCTGAGACCCTTTGGTCCGCCAGCTGACGCTCTAAATACACAGCCAAACTGGCTAAGGCTAATTCAGTACCTTAACAGAGAAAAGAACCCATCCCATCAACAGATAATTGTTAGGCATTATCCCTCAGTGTTAGTCATTGGGTTAGTGCCGACTGTATGAAATTGGAAGGACAAAGGTACTACAATTAATGGTGTGTGTGTGTGTGTGTGTGTGTGTGTGTGTGTGTGTGGAAACACCTAGGCGATAGGACAATAATTTTTAAAAGATTGACTATCATTCTATGTGTACATATATCTATATACACATATATACACATATATGTTAGCCCTCATTAGCTATGGATTCTATATTTGTGAATTTGCCTACTTGCTAAAATATATTTCTAACCCCAAAATCAATGCTTTGGTGCTTTCACAGACATGTCCAGAGTGACAAAAAATTTGAGTTGTTTGACACATGTTCCCAGCTGAGGTCAAATAAGGTGGCATTCTGCCTTCTTGTTTCATCTCTTGTAAAAAAGTCTATTTTCGAGACATACTTTGTGCTGAATTTTGGTGCTTTTTGTTGATGATTTCCCTGTTTAAAATGGCCCTCAAAAGTAGTGCTGGCCCTGGTCAGTGGCTCAGTTGGTTGGAGCACCATCCTGTACACCAAAGGGTTGCAGGTTTGATCCTGATCAATATTTCTCTCTGACCTAGATGTTATTTTTTATCTCTGTCCCTTCCTTTCTTTGTCTGAAGTCAAGAAACATATCCTCAGGTGAGAATTTAAAAAAAAAAAAGTGCTGATGTTTCGTCTAGTGTTCCTAAATACAGGAAGGTTGTGATTTGTCTTAGAGAGAAGATACATGTGTTAAATAAGCTATTGGTCTTGAGTTCAAGGCTAATAATGCAGTAATATATGCTAAATAATGTATCTTACAACAGAAACACACATAAAACAAGGTTATATATTGATCAGTTGATGAAAATGCTGTGACCAGAGGCTTGAAAGAACCTAACCCTATCTTTCCTCTAGGAGCAGTGGTTCAGTGTTCACTAATTCAGTATTTGTGGTGACTTAATAGAACATAACTACCACGAATAATGAGAACTGAGTATGAGTGTGTGTGTTCTTTCCAATTAGCTTGTAAAATTCCCACCTTTTTCTTCACAATATTTAGGTTCCTATATCTTCTTCATAGGGGATTGTTTTCTTTATTACAAAATTGTTAGGAGGGGAAGAACACACAGATTAATTTATCTCCACAAATCTTTACCTTGGGAATAATGTTGGTCTTATAATAACATTCATCTTTTAGATGTCACTTAGAAAGCTTAATAATCCCCTTTACTTGCTTCTATTCAGTGACCTGTAGAACAATTCACCCTCTTTATTTTGCTTAAAGGCAATCTAGGGCCAATGGGTATTGCTATTGCTGGCCCTGAATTGGAAAACCCAGAACACTGGCTTTTTTCTCTACTCGTCTCACTTTTACTTCCACATCTTAGAAGTGAGTGAAAACAGGTTTACTCACTTATTTTATAATGTTTAAGTAAGTAGAACAGGGGGAGATGCTTTTATTTAACTTCAGGTGCCAGTTACCTTCATATATTAGATAAGGCATCTTGATATTTTTTCTGCCTTAAAAGAAAGAATGACTTGCTCTTAAGGACTGAGGAACATATAGGAGGGACTGGGGATATATCTTGCTTTACGTAGTGATAGAATATATTTTACTTGTTAGCATTTTTTTTTCCAGGACAGTTCTGTTTTATATCTTGCAAGTGTTCAAGCTTTTCGGTTAAATAGAACTCATAATTTTGTCTATTGAGATTGAAAAAGAAAAATCTTGATAGGAAGTTTATTTGTTCTCAGGGAGATGCACTGTGGCCATCAGTGTGAATGCTGTTTTGTATAACAATTGAGAGAGACTGTGACGTGCTCTTGACTTTTATTGATGACAACAGTGGTCAAAGTTTGGTGCTTCAGGGCATTCCCTTATGGATATGGTCACATCAGGCTTCTACTGTGTGAAACTCTAGGTTGGGGGATGTGATTACCGCAGTACGATGCTTATCTAAGTAATGCACAGAGAGCCCGAAAATCATTTAGTCGATGTAAAAGTTGGTATTGAAACTCAAGGTCTGCCTTTTGGATTGAATTTGGCTCAGTTATCTGTGGTTAAGAAAAAAGACAAAGTGTCCAGGTCAACTCTCTGGCACTTTTGATGAGCCTAAAACTCTCCTAAGCCGAGTAGAATTATTTTAACTTACTTAGCCTTTTGTGGTTTTCCCCATTACTGTGCTGTTTTGTCTCACAGTAGTAGGAACACATTTAGATTTTTTGAACTTGCAGTAGCATGAGGAAAAAAAACCCTCACAGGTGACACATTCTGATAATTAATGTTGAGCTCTTATGAAGACTCTAGGTTAAGTCTAGTATTACTTGCATTTCCCCAGAATGGCCTCTAAAAGACTAGTTATCTTTTCTAATATAACTTATTTTTAGCCATTTCACAGTGGCAGAAAAGCATGACAACCTGGTATTGGAAGGGCTTCTGTGCAATATAGTTTGGGTTGGCAGCTTATTCCTAAAGACAGTTTCTGTATACATTTATCATAACTGAGTGTATGCACAAAGCCAGAAGACTGGAATAGTGCCCAAAATGGAACCACTGCCAAGAATTTAGTGTTTCAAAACTGGCTCACTGAAGATTTAGGCTGTTCATTCAAATTTTGTCATCATCACCCTCCACCCCTTTACTATTGAAGAATGCATTTGGAATTCTAGTTAGGTTAAATGATTCTGTGTGAAATGATTTGTTAAAAACAGCAATGTCAGTGAGCTGACAGTATGGATCTCTGTTTCTATGTCTTTTACCCTGGTGTTTTGGACATGGATTCACCTGTTTATTTGTTTGCTTATTATGTTTCCCATAACCAAAGTTATGACTTATTTAAAATTATGCTGTGAGCCACTCTTAGTATTTGTCTTGCTCTTATCTTGGGGTGACTTCCCTTCAGTCTACCTTAGTCTTGTGCTCATTTGGTTTCCTGTTATGACCTGTCTGGTTCATTGGTGCCATCAAATGGCTAATTGATACTACTTTAACCTCTCTGATTAAACTGATTAAAATATCCAATGGAATTTCAATAACTCTTTTTGTTTGTTACCTTAAAATGTAATGATCCTCCATTTCTCAGGATGTAAACCGTCTTCGACTTTCCCTTATGGACAACCATGATGTCAGTAAAGAATTTCAAGCTTTGATTGTGAAACATTTGGATGAAAGCCATCTTTTACAAGGTATGTGGATAGTTCATGAGTTGATCAATGATTAGCTTCTAAGAAAAGCTATGTTTTAGCCCTTTTCACTCCTCCTTTCATTGCAGTTTCTAATTTTTTAGAAATTCCTTTGCTGCTTTCTCCCATGCAACTAGATGATTGAAGGACTTTGTATTCTATAATATATTCTAAAGCCTCTGAAATTTGGACCGTTCGGGGATTATGTGAAAACTATAGAAGTAAGCTAGATATCTTAAAAGTTCAGCTATATTTAGACATGGAATTTGATATGTTTGGAATTCCAGTCTTATAAAATTGAGGAAACATTAATTTGGTAATCCTGAGCTTCCCATTTACTGTTATTGAGTTTCTTGGTCAGTTTTATAATTAAAGTCTTTTTTAAATATACATTTTTTATTGATTTCAGAGAAGAAGGAAGAGGGAGAGAGAGAGAAACATCAGTGATGAGAGTGAATCATTGATTGGCTGCCTCCTGCACACCCCACACTGGGGACCAAGCCCGCTATCCAGGCATGTGACCTGACTGGGAATCAAACCGAGACCTCCTGGTTCATAGTTCAACACTCAACTACTGAGCCATGCTGACCAGGCACAAAGTCTTTTTATCAGACTTAGCAGTTCTGTTGGGGTTCCTGAATTTTTGGATCTTCTAAGGACTCTTTCTAGGACAGTGAGTTAGAGCTCAATGAGTTTTCTGATACTATTTGATCTGATACAAATGCTAAAGTAAATATATTGCCACTCTAAGAGAAATCAATAGGAGAATGGAGCTTTAAAATAAAAAGTTTTAAATTTTCTCCTAGCTTTGCGGAAATGTCTTCCTTCTCTTGTTTATGAAATATCTGTTAATGTTTACTTTTGTCTATTACATTTATAAACGATTTCAGAAAAGATTATCTTGGATGATGGTGCTGTTGAAAGATAATCCAAATTGCTCTAAAATTTTTATTTTTTTTAAGGTGACAAAAACTTAGTTGGTTCCGAAGTAAAAATTTATAGCTTGGACCCATCAACTCAGTGGTTTTCCGCAACTGTTATAAATGGAAACCCAGCATCCAAAACTCTTCAAGTCAACTGTGAGGAGGTAAAGATGATGACAATTGCATGTAATATGACAGGGGAAGGTAATTATAAAAAGGAATTATGATATCTTAAAGGAGTTAGACACCTTTATTATGTTAAAATAGAGTAGAAAGGGAAATGTCAATTATCTTAAAAGAAATTATTTGTAAGAAGCTCCTATTATGTTAAAAGAGCTAATTTCTGGTATGTTCCAGAGCATTTTCTAATTTTTCATTATCTTTGTTTTATTTATTTTTAAGATTCCAGCACTGAAAATTGTCGATCCATCACTGATTCATGTTGAAGTTGTACATGATAACTTTGTGACATGTGGTAAGATAATATTGT